CCGGAGAAATCCGTATCACTTCAAGCACAAAAGCCTAATTTCGCTCGCAGAAAGTGACTGCAGGGACTTTCAACTGGACTCCAATTGACCGCCCCTTTATACTGCAGGAGCGGCAGGCAAAGATACGGCCAGGGAGGGTAAATATGAGCCAAAATAAAGAACAAATCACGCAAGTAAAAGCATTGGCAGTATATTTATATACCCCCGCAAGCGCTAGTTGCTCGCGCCTTTTGCTGTACAACGTTGTTAGAATAACGTGAATGTTGCTGTAACTACCATGCAATAAAGAAGAAAATTTTTTTTGCTGTGGTCGAGGAGTTAGAGCGCCGGTATTTGTCGTCGCGGCGTCAAAGTCCCGGGTTCAAATCGCGTTAAGAACATCTCTTTGATTTCTTTTTGTGCATACCTAACTTTTTATCTGTGATCCTCTTTACGTATCCTCCACTTGCGCGCTAATAAAATCGTTTCATTATGTTCACTAAAAGGAAACCAAAATAACAACATCGGTATGATTTTCACACAAACGGAGCCGCGACAAGCCTCCTTCCCCCAGCAACTACAATTTTATGTGTTTCTAAATATACAACGCTCTTGCTACGACTCTGTAGATGCATTGATTGAGTGAAATCCTACAGGCAAGGCAGCAAGTCAAACGTCTGAGAAAGGAGAAAGTCATAAAACCGAAAAAAAATATCATACCTTTACTTGCACAAAATGTGATGAAAGGTGTATTTTTACTATTTTCATTTTGCGGTGGCAATCGTTTTGTAATATTAACACATTACTTTATGAATTTTAGTTTGAATAGCAGACGAACTCAACCGAATGCAAAAATGAATCAGGCGTCGACATCGCTAACCATCTCTCCAACGGAAACACCTAAAATGACTTTGGACCAACAAATGGAGTTAATTAGAGCAGTTGGAAAACGGAACCACCAAATTCTAGAGAAATTCAGCAGCACAGTTACCTGGCAAACAAAGCGACGCGAAAGAGAAGATATTGTCAGCTTTCCGCGGAGTGCACGGCAGGTGCAGTAGGCGTGGTGGAAGTTGGCAAAGAAAGCTAGAGACATCTAAGCGCACTTCCGAGGTCATGAACAACGAACTGGTGAGTCAGAACTACCCACCCAATCATATTATAGGGATCATAAGGCCCTGTCTACATTTTTAGTGGGAGGGTAGCCAAATACAGGGGGAAAATATTAGTGAGTGTCTGGCGCGATTTGGACCCGGGACTTTCACGCCGCGACGACAAGTACTGGCGCTCTAACCTCTCGATCACAGTAGAAGGCACGAGCCGCCTGCTGTGGTGGAGGTATATAAATATACTGCCACCGCTTTTATCCCGCGTGGTTTTGTCTTTATTTTCGCTCATGTTTGCCCTCTATGGCCGTAACTTTACCTGCCGCTCCTACGGTATAAAGGGGCGGTCAAATGGACTCCAGTTTAAAGTACCTGCAGTCAGTTTCTGCGAGAGAAATTAGGCTTTTGTGCTTGAAGCGATACCGATTTCTCCCCCATTCGGCAAGGACGCTAGGTACTACCTTGTTCCCATGGAGCTGGTCACGTGACATGAAAATCCCTCTTGGCCGCAGCCGCAGCCGCGGCCGCAAGATGAGCAAACCAGCCCTGGAAGCACCATTGCGGTACTCTGCTACAGTGTACTAGAATACAGGGTAGTGTTGGGTCCGGAGCGGCTCGCGTGAGGCGTGTGGTGTAGATCGCGATAGGTGTCGACACCGGCGCATCGACAGTAGTGTCAGTATCGTGATCACTGATCTCTATTTTAGTAGGCTGGATCTAGGATCGGGAGCCCGTCGGTGTTGCCACCGGCGGCCATTGCTTGACACCAGGCACTACACGCAAGTCTATAGGAGGAACGCACAAAAGTAAGAATAGTGAACCGTGTACGCTGTGCTCAGAGGCGAGTATTTTATAGTGCGCTGCGATCCTTATATCGGGTGTTTGGAGATCGAATCGGTATTTGTCAAACGTGCGGTCGCCGAATAAAAAACTCAAGCGTACCGGAGCACCTACGGCTGAGCTGGCAAGCTTGCTCTCGTAATGGGGTAAACAAAGAAACTTGCCGTCAATGAGACCGTCCTCGGGGAAGCCCAGACGTTGATGTATGACAAAAAGTTCCATCTCGATAACGGCTTTCCGAGAGTGAGCGACTCCCGCGAGGCAAAGTCTTCGAGCTTGTCGTTCGCTAAACCCAACTCAACGAAACCGCCACCGACTCCGCGGTAACTCTAGGTAACTCGCCTCATTGAGCTGCACTACAGCGGAGTCACTCTCGACCACAAAATATTTATTTATACGAATTGCGAGGGCTGTCAGTTTTAATGTTTGTACGCAAGCTATTTGACGGGCTTATTGAAGAGCATCCAAAAAGTGTTCGGTGCCGACAACAGCTTAGAAACGGGGGAAAACGGCACTTTTTTTCGTTCTTCCCTTAGAGTCCCATGCATTGGCTGGTGTCAATCAATGGCCGCCGGTGGTGACACTCGGCCCCAGCTGCCGAGGCCGCGGTCCGCGATCCAGCCTACTACAATAGAGATCAGTGATGGTGATGGTTGTGCGCGTGCTCCACGTGCACGAGCACGCGCGGCTACACGTGCGGGCTGCAGCGACTTTCTGCTGCCCTGTCGACTGCAGCGCCGCGATTATTGTCTACAGGCGCACCCTCACAAGCTCCCATTGCCGAGCCGCGCCGGTCCAAACGCTACCCCGTAATCTAGTGCACTGTATATCTGCTCCGCGAGGCGGAGCATATACAGTTTCTTCACGTCCAGTGAACCTGCAGCGCTATCTCTGGATAAGGCACAGAAACATGTCCGTTGTTCGGTGCATCCCCGGCAGCTGCCGCTCCGCCGTTGGGAAAATTCGTTTCTGTGTTCTTGTTTCCTTTGTTATCGAATTTCCCACTTGAACATTTAACACAACATTGTGAGAAGCTAAAGACATTTTCGAGAAAGGCTGCTACAAGATCCGTCAAATAGTTTTTCTTTGTGCGAGCCATTTTAGCGTGTAAATATTTTTTGTGACACCCTGTACTATCGAGAGGCGCCGCCGTGCGCCGGCTCACGAGTTCGCGCAGGAGGGCTAACTACCAAACCTGTCCATATCGCTTTTCCATCTCGCTTCTTCTTCCTAACCCGCGCTTTTGTGGTAATCATTTTTGTGGTATGCGCTTTTTATACGAGAGTAGAACAAAGGCGCTAAAACACCAGTAGGACGGTCCACCAACAGCACGACTTGCCCCCCCCCCCCCCCCCCCAAAAAAAAAAAAAAAAATTAATCGCTTGACTGCAAACTCGCCGCAAGCGCGCCGGCGCAGCTGACCTGAGATTGTAACCGTAGTAATACTCTTCGAATTGGCGTGATATTTTGCAAACACAACCGCGGGAGGCTGCAGCGAGAGCACTCCGCAAACACGGTGGCAGCAGTAGTGCGATGGAATCGATGATATGGTGCGATCAATCAGTCCTCGGCTATTTCGGCTAAGCGAGCTTGTAAAGCGTTGACGCCACCAAGTGGCGAAGCGCATAAATATGCTACGCTTGGCCCTGCTGAAGTCGATGACGTCACGGGCGCGACAGGTATCTCAAGACGCATCGCGCTCCTCGATGGCTCATTTTAAAGCGCTCACCAAATCGGGCATTTAGAACTAAAAAAAAGTAAAAAATATAACCATTCGCTCAAAACACCAGCGTGCGATTATATTTTACAGGTATTATTGATTCTATTTTGACTTATTCTTCAATGTATTATAATAATTTAAAAAATGATTCAGTATGCCTTGTAAACATCGACCGAATATATGCGATTTGTTTTTCACACTTAAAGCGATTCGTGTTCTTTTCTCATGTTTCATGCAGTTCTATTTTTTTCCTCTGCAAATACCTTTTAAACTTTCTGCGTTCATAACCAAAGTTCTCATAACCAACCTTCTATATTCAAACATAAACCTTTATTTATTCATAATTATATCAGCGTAAACTTGAACAGCTGAGCAGCTCAGTTTGTTGACTTGGAACATAATTCCGTGAATAATGGAACAACTTAATAGCTGTTCTTTGTGCTTGATTTTTTTGCACTCCATTTCTGCTATTTTTCTGTAGTAAAGGCACGAAAACGTGTGTTCCCGATTAAAACAAATAAATGTATGTTAGCCTGAGATAAGGAGTGTTGGTAATATGCACATTTAAAGACATCTTGTCTAAGTTAAAGACGCGCGGTGGACTAATTTACGCGGAAATATTATGGAACGATGAAAACGTTTTTTTTTTTTTTTGTATTTTTGAAATAATGAAATTATTCACCTGTTTTCCTCGAATAATCTTTGAATTTATTTTTATGACCTGTTATGTCGTCTTTTAACAAATTGTGTTACACAAAAAAAAGTGCCCCAAAAATGCAGTATAGATATGATGTGTCACATCAGGAGTGTAATTTTAGTGAGGGTCGGCAAATTTATCTCAAGAAATGTATGTGACAATATTCGGTAATAAAAAAAAAGACATTTAAAATAAATCGACCTGCTAGGCCCCGTAAGGTACTAGAAATTAATTTTAGCACATTTTACGTTCAAAAAGCATATCCGTTATTTGGTGGCCTCAGTGCAGTAGGCCTCGGTCTATTTGTCGCTGGCCCGTCGGTCTGGTTTTCAAATTTCTACAGTGATGCATGTTCTTAGGTGAGCATTTTGCCTTAAAAATGTTTTAGCAATAATACCTTTTCATTTATAATTTCATTGTTGTTTTCAACACCAAATGAAGTAACCTATAGGGAAAAATCATAAAACTGGTGAGTTATTTTGCATAAAATTTAGAAAATTTCAAGCTTTCATTTGCCGAAGAGATCAATCAGATTTCAATGATAAATAAAAGGTATTTGGTTTGTCTTCAAAACTAGAAATGATTCATGATAATTTTGTATGTCTTTGTTGTTGTTCTTTCTAGTCATTCAATCCTTGCATGCGCATTCTTTTCACAGCCATTTCAGGAAACCAAAGTGACCACATGACCGCTTTTGTTGATGTAAGAAACTCAACCTTGGTGAAAAACATGTTTGACTGTGTCAGGGATGCCTACCCTGATAAGAACATCAGCATTGTGGTGAACAGCGCCGGCATCCTGCACAAGCCGAGGCCTCTGGTGAACTTGTCTGAATGTACCTATGAGAATACAATGAACACCAACTTAAAGGTACTTTGCACAACCTAATTACCGCATTGGTTCTTGCGAATGATTTTCTGAATCAACTTTTATAACACTATCTGTCTGAACGTTTTAGCACATCATTGTTGATACCGAGGTCATGATGAATTTTTAACACAAATCATCCTGAGAATTTCGGTGCTGTGCTTTGATGGTAGAATACACCAGCTGGAACTGCCTTTGTGTCTCTTTTAAAATATAGAAACGGAGGACCCCATGCTGTCACTTATAGCCCAAAGAAACATGGAACTCGGTGTTTTTTGACTCCGGTCGCTAATTAGAATATGGAATTATACCATTGTATTTCGGCGGTGCGCCCCTTGCTCTTCTAGACATGATATCACAGAACACCCCTGCAGTTACACTGGAGCATTAGTGCACTTCACAGACAATTGAACACTATTTGATGAGATCTTAAATTTTAACTTTTTGGAAGGCAGTGAAGCAATGAAAGCTTTAGTAATATTTAAAATGTCATTTGCACATTTTGGAAACTGCTCTTTCTTAAATATGCCATCATGTAATATTCTAAAGTGGTTCTCTTGGCACATATCCCACTCTCAGGCTAAGAGTTTGACCTATATCGGTTTGCATCATTTTTCTAACGCAATTAAGAGATTATAATTTAAACCCTGAGCTAAAAATGTCACGTTTGATAACTTGCTCGCCATCATACTTCCTCTTTTTACAACTGAATCATTACTTAACTGGCACATGTGGTATCTCCATAAAAAATAATGAAGCTCCTCCACTTTCAGGGAACGTTCCTCGTCACACAGGAAGCTGTGAGATCCATGCTGAGTGACAACGTCACACTAGGGGCCATCGTGAACATCGCTAGCATAGTCGGCAAGGGTGGCTTTCCCACTGCGAGTGTATACGCAGCGTCCAAGGGCGGCATCATCGCGTTCACAAAATCCGTGGCTCTTGAACTCGCAACAAAGGGCATCCGAGTCAACGTCGTCCTGCCGGGAGGTGTACACACGCCTATGTCTCACCAATGGTCTAATGAAACCAGGCGAGAGAGATTGGCAACCCTAGTACCCATGAAGCGGTACGCAGATCCCATAGAAATATCGGAAATGATTGTCTTCTTGTGCAGCAACAAGACCTCTTATATGACAGGGGCGCCCGTCGACATAGCGGGAGGATCGTACATGTAGACGATGCGTCTCACTGTTTGTTTGTTTTGATTTTTTTCATGTACTGGTCTCGCTTTCTCTTGTTACTGCAGCAAACGATAAGATATATGTACATAGCTGTACACCAAAAGCATCTTGGTTTAAAGCATGAAATGCTTTTCGACGCTACCCCCAAGTTCCAAAATTTTGTACGTCGTTCGTTCCTACATCTCCCACTAAATTTAGCTGGTAAATTAATATCGCGAGACCTATACACGAATTCAACTTCTCAGCTCAATTTAGTGGGAAAGTATATGTCACCTGGCCTGATATCACGGGACATGCAAACCAATTCAGTTTCGCCGCTTAAAGGGGACCTCCAAGAGTATTTGAGCGTCGACTTTTTTTGGGGGTTTCTACACGTTAGTGGTCCCGGAAACCCAGTGGACAACGAAAGAGTTTGAAAATATTAGCGCATCGTATTTTAATTTGACAACTCGGAAACACCTCCTCCGACGGTGGCGCCGCGAGGTGCCGAATCTGCGCGCATAACGGCGCTCCCTTTCACTATACGTCGCATTCTCTGGGTTTCGTGATTGGCGAGAGTCGTCCCAGGAATTTTGAAGCGAAATAAAGTATAGCACAGGTTAACCGTCATTATTTCTCTAACAAGTCATTTTTATAGAGCTAATGAAGTTGCAAAGTAAAGTTCAAAAAGGGCGTAAACAACGCCTCGCCAGAGCCGTATATTGGGCTCCGCGCCTCGCCACGCCTCGCCACTCATGCGCGCCTCCCAGCGGCGTCCGCGACGTACCATCGCGAGCAGACGACAAGTGATCCGCGCAGATAACGTGCATCGTATTTTCACTTGTGCGCCCCCGTTCCCGGTCAACTAAAAGCAGTAAGAGGAGCCAGGGGAACCCTTATTTTCTTTTACTGCTGTGACAGACTTTTCACTGTTCGAGTGAAGTGCGGCGACGGGACCCAGCTTTTGCCCAATGGGACCGCACACCACTTTGTAGCTCCTACTCGCCGAGGTGGCTCCGGTGGCCAAGTCGCAGGAGACAAGTCTTCCGCGGCTGTCGAAGCGGACTGAGGCAGAGACGCGTCGCGGCGCTTGCGTGGAGTGTCCCCGTACGGCGCGACGCCCAGATCCGCACTCAAAATCCGATAAGCCCGGTAAATTCATCGATGATGGCAACCCGATCCCAAAGTTACGATGGTTGCAGCTAGGCCTAATGACCGACAAGCCGACCGGGCCGACGGGCTATCAAACAAACTCGCGTCCAATTGGCCAACCGCTTTGCTCCAAACGCTGAACTGTTTCATTTTGCGTCATGAAGCGCAATGTTTTCCTTATTTAAAGTTGTTTTCTGCAATATTTATTTTGCTAATAACTCACAAAATATTGCGAATTTCTGTAATCTTTTTTTTTCCCTCGGTGTTCCTGCTTTCATTGAGCTCCGTTTCAGCGCGAACTTCAAACCGGTCAAAAAATTGTTGGTGGGCCCCTTTAAATTAGAGTACTATTGACGTCACATCACCTATACACCAATTCAGTTTTTCCGCCAAATTTGGCCGGAAAATGGCCTCACGTGACGTCAACTGATGTCACGTGACCTATATACCTTGGGGAAATTGACGGTACGTGACCTATACGTCAACTTAGTTCTTCCCTTAAATTTAGCGGAAAAATTCCCGTCTTGTGACCAAGACACGAATCCAGATTTCTCGCTAAAATTAAACGGGGAACACTGATGTCAAGTCACCTGGCGTCACGTGACCCATACAACCATTCCCTTTCACCGCTAAATTTATCGGCAAAACATACATCACGAGGCACACCCATTCCCTATACTGCATTGGATGCATTATAGGACTTTGAATGTGAATATCGCTTCCAATTTGATTTGCAATAAACAATTTTACAAACAAACGTATTTCAAGTGCGTGTTCCGGCCTTTAAACTTCTTTTTTTTTTCTTGCTTAGGTACCTGAAGCGTCGTGTGCCTGCTCTACTTCTAGTTAAAGGGTAACTCAGGCACATTTTCTTCATTTCAGTGTTACTACTGTTTGTAGCGAGGGAAGTGTCCCTAAATAATGATGTCTTATTTTCTTCAATGCCTTGTGTTGATTTGCAAATATCCTATCCCAAAGTTTTGTTTCTGGAGTCTATGGCGAAACCGAAAACTACCGGCTCCAGCGTGGTGGCAACCCTTGCATCAGTTGCAAGGCCATAGTGTGGCACGAAGTTCGTATCGCGGTACCACAAAACCTAAGACTGACCTTGTCGCAAGAGCAGCTCCGATCATTTGGATAAGATTCTACGGCTGTTCTGCTGTTTTGGTTTGTAGATATTGAACATCTGTAGCTTCATAGACACTCATAAAGTTTTCAGGCGAGAAGCGAGCTCGCCAAGACGAACGTAGGCTCAGCGCAGGTTCAGAACTTGACCTCTAACTTCTTCAAACACAAAATTGGGGCCGAAGTTGGTGGAGCGAAACGATTGGCATATCACGACGATGATTGCTTCCTTCGCCGACGTCCAATCGGCGCGCTCCGTGAACTTTCGGCTCCAGCTTTGTGTTCGACGAGTTTTGAGCCCCAGGATCCCATTTATCTTCCGAGAAGAACTACTTACTTGGTTGTCTGCAACGCACGTTGCAGAAGCATAGTGGAAGCTAATAGCAAGCTCGCACTGAGAAGGAACGGACGAAACTATTATTGCCAGTGAATGCCACTTTCTGCACGCACCATGATGCGCTTGAGCAAGCGGGGAGTCAATAATCTTCGTGCGCGATCACCGAGGAGCACTTACAAACTAGGACCGCTAAAACCAAAATATGAGAAACAGAAATCGTCCTCTGTAATATTTGAAAACCCCGCAGAAGAAGACAATGAAAGAGGTGGCTCTGCGAACAGTAACTTTGAGTACGAACATGACATCGGGAAAGAAAGTTGCTTGACAAACAGTCAACCCGTTTAATCTCAGCTGAGAAGCTGGTGGTAGCATTATTAATATCGGTTTTAGAGTGAATCACGATTCCCCATTGGTGTGTTATTTTGGCATGGCTCATATTTAGTCTTCGCCAATCAATATCACTCATCTATTTTGGTTCGACATTTTGACCAAAGATGCCCTTTAAGACTTGCTATAGGCATTCTGCAATTGGTACAGATGTGATTAAAATAGCGCAAACTTGACAAGGAGTACAAAAAAGGCACACGTACAACAGGACTGGCGCGACACCTACAACAGGACCGGCAAAGCGCCAGTCCTGTTTTACGTGTGCCTTCTTTGTTGTCCTTGTGAAGTTTGCGCTATTTTAATCATGTTTAGTAAGAACCAACTAGCCCAAACAAAAGTCGTTTGGTACAGATGCCTCGAGACAGAAGCCACGCACTGGCACCATGGCTCCGCAACTAGCGACAGGTCCCCCCCTTCGCCTCGACTAATAACCTCCATTTCCAAGACGCTTTTTGTCATAGTTTCTTTGTTGTTAGGTCAAATTCAAGATAGAAAAGACTGCCCGTCTTTGGGCACAGGCGGGCCCATCTCTTTCGATTGCGGTATGTCCTATCACCTCGTTCGGGCTTCGAGTAGACCCGTCAGGGAGGCGTTGGCACTTCGGCAGAGAACAAAGCATGGTCGTGTGCTTTCGTGACAAAAGATAGACAACCGTGACACATATTCTCCCTCACTAGGGGGAGTTGGTAGATTCTACATTTATGTTCAATAATTAAAACAATTATTCACGATACTTAAAAAAATAGGCCTTTATTCTCTTGCTTTGGAACGTTTTTCCCTTGTAAAGTTCAAAAGACCTCATGCAAGGCACTAGCCGAACCCAGACCATTCAGATTGTTAAGCGAGTGTTTTCCTAGCATGTCACGACACATTTTTTTTTGTGTCTATTACAGCATACATTGCACAGACAAGTTCAGGCCAAGGGTCAAGTGTTTTGATTCGCACATCTCAGTGGATACGTTGGGGCTTTTTAGGAGTCTCTCACACTCACCGACCCCCTCAGGAACAGTATCTTGTTGTGCATAGGTACTACGTATTCGAATCACAAATTCAGCAAAGCATGCTTCAACAGGCCGCGGTTTAAGGTCTGCAAAACAACAAGGCATCCAAACAAAAAATAAACACGTGTTTTATTGCGTTGCATTACACAGTGAGCACTTGGTGTTCCAGGGAACAAAAATATCTTTCTCGTGGCGGGTCGGCCACTTTTTTACGCGACGAAGGATCTGACCTGATCGCTGGTTTTACCATGTACGATACAAAGGCTCCGGGGAAAATGTGTTATACAGGACGTTGGACAAGGATTTTCTAGGTATTTAGGACAAATAATTTTTGGAATTGCGAACTGCCAAAAAATCATATACTTCAACAATTTTTTGTAAGGATCCGACAGATCTTGCTGGCTGCTCGCCATGGCTCGAGACCAGAAAAAAAGACAAGAGCCCCGCAAAACTTTGGAAAGTAATATAACAAACGACCATGGCTAATTGCGCCGAAACCCCAATTTGGTTGCGTCTCCTACTTGGTCATATATGAAAAGCTGCTGACCTCCTCCGAACCTCTAATACCTCTTGACGCTTCGGGGCACATTGCATACCAGTTTGAGTAGAGAGAGAGAGAGAGACAGAGATATAAACCACACATCGATTACATCCCTTGCTTAGGTTCATCGCAGTGGCTAAAACGTCGATGTCGGTGGCTGCAAAAAATTACGCTGAAGACGTCCAGTGGGGCAACACCGGCGATGCCAACTTTAATTCACGGCGTCTTTATTTATTATTTCGTTGCCTAGGTCAAAATTTTGTTTAGTGCAAATTTTTTCTACTTAATAGACTCTTATTGGCTCCAAAACGCTATGGAATGTTCGTTCGATTTATTACTCGGTTTAATACGAAACTCCTATGCGGGCTCTATGGTGCGCGCTCCCACCTTTACCGTTCAATCAGTAAATCTGCTTCGATATAACACCCTAGCGGCTACGACGTCGCACCTCAGCTGTCGCAGTGTTTCACCA